TATAAAATTCAATCAATTTAGGCTCCTTCCGCCTTCGTCCCCGTTTGGATAGCCGTAAGTGGGCAAACGCAGGCCGACTTCAGCACTGCGGTAATGACAAAAATCCATTAAATTCAATATTTCTTAGACGATCATCACCTCAACGATGGTGATACTTGGGAAAGCACTCAACTTTATTCTATTCTGCCTATCATCAGCCAACTTCCGGCAACGACTTTTATTCCGGACCAAGGAATTGGCGACAAATAGTGCTATGTAAGCTATTAAAAACAATATTGAATCTACATCATTCTGATTTGATTTTAAATATCGATTTTCTGAAAGCTCGGAGATTATAGGCTACAGTTTGTAGTTTGTAGCTAGAATTTTAAGCTGTCTAGGTTATAGACTGTAGCCAGAAATCACTGGTTGCGTAACCAGCTAAAAAAATTCAGGTACATTCCCGCGCCGTCCGCCAAAAATTCATTTTACAAGAAGGTAAACGCCCCAGTAAGTACAGAATGTGTAGATAGCATGGGTTGTCGAAAAAAATACAATCATGCCATAAAATTATAGCGGAACTAGCTCAAAACCGCTTCGCGGGCCTTGGGCGCTGGAATGGTGCGTTTGCATGAGAGATTTGACTTCCAGAAGCCTCTGGTCCCTGACCCCCCCCCACCGCACGCGCGCATGCAACTCGCAAGAATGAGGAAATTTGCATTTTTCCGCATTATGCAAATTAGCCCTCCGGGACCCCCAAAAATGAATAAAACCGGCTTTAACTTTGTAAACTTGTATTTTATCAAAATTCTGAGAACGCCATCGGAAACAGAAGGGTCGATTCCCTCGGGTGACGGAGAATTAAGGCATTTTATGCACGGGAAGGCCCTCAAATCGAGCCTCGAAACTGACATCCACACACACACACAAAGATACACGCCAAAATTATATAAGGTAGGATGGGCAGTTTAAAACCGCTTACTGGATGATGAAATGAAAATTAAAGCATGGAGTAAGACCGGCATCCGCTTATGCACGTAGTTTGGCAACCCTTAGAAGAAATTCGAGTAGTAAAAGTATGGAATGGCGTTAACAAGTTTAGAATATCAGGTATATCCTAAAACTAAATTGGAACCGGTAACCTTTAATATTCATGGTTTTAGAAGAACGAATCTCCAAGCCTCCACAAAATGGCTGTCTGTTGATTTCAAATCGTTATCGAGGCCTGGGTCGAGGCCCGTTTCGAGACCTTCTTCCCGCCTATCATTATGGCCAATGGATGCTGGTTATGAGCCTGTTCATAAGTAAGCCATCTACTTTTTACAACTTAAAAACAACGCAGAAAATGGTAGAAGAGACACCGTTAATTTAAAATAGTATCTGATTCGGGCCTACAGGCCGTCTGAATCATTCTCGATTTTTGTTGGCATAGATCGTGGATGATATATATTTTGCATTCGCGACACTTAGCCTCAAAAACTAGACAAACTGTACTTTTGTCAAACTTTATACTTTAGTAAACTACCCCCGGTTTGGCTGTAATCGGCTCTTGACGATATCTTTTATCCTTTATACAAAAAAAATGGAAAAATATGAATCGCTGTAAGCTATCAACAAAATCAATTATTATACCGAGTTATTCGTACTACTTCAAATATTCGACAGGTTTTGGTGCCGTAATGGTGAGTGCTTGCAGTGTCCCAGCCCTTACTTAAGAGTTGAAGTCTTTGAATGTCGCCAGATCCTCTCGCCTCGTTGTTAATACATCACCATACAATTTTAAAATTTCCCTTTTTCAGCTTCAGCCACAGCCCGGTGCACGGCTGCGCCAGAGCCGCTATGTTCCGGCGAAGATCCACAGCAGGCCATGCTTACATGCCAGGGAGGGTCCGATCGGCTCCTCGACTGGACGCGCTCGACGAAATTCTGCCGATCGCCCGGGTGACGAGCTCGAATAGGGTTTGATATCCGGGACTATCGCTTTTTAATAATCCCTATTACGCTTTTATACCAAAAAAATTCTGATGTTGTGCCATCTATTTTTACTTAAATCTGATCACCGGGAGTTATCCCAAGGCGGGTCCATTTCTACAGCATATCCGTTAAATTTTTGCTCAAAACCTTGTAGTTTTGATGACGCTTTTCGTACGCTTTTTAATTTATGGCGATAAACGTTGAACGATGTAAAAATTGAAAAATGAAGCGTGGAAGGCCCGAAAGCATCATGAATTTCTCGAAACGTAAAAGTAAGCCTGAAATCGAACATTATGTATATTTTGGGCCTTGAAGGAAAGGTGGTAACTTAAAGCGCGCGTTCAGGGAGTGGCCGTGTACTCGTCCCAACGTGTACACCCTATGGACGTAGCGACCCCGCGCACTGCCTGCCCGTGGCGTGGCAGGCAATTTCCCACCTTTGCGGCGTGGCTGACTGGTATGCATCCGCGGCTCCCGAGCGGGGGGCCCGGGTTCGACCCCCGGCCGCGGCAAAATCCTTGCTTTTTTTCCAAAAAAACGTCCCTGAACGCGCCCTTTAAGGAACAAATAGAGCTTGAGAATACGATCGTAAATACAGCAGTTTCAAGTAGTATGCGATGAAAAGAGAAATCAATAAACGACAGTTTCGCCGTCATGTTGATTACTGCCGCTCTTCGATTGTTTTTCGATTGTCGAAGAAGCCTGGGGCATAGTTGGCTTGACGGTCGAGGTCGTCAAGTAGAAGGAGGCCACCGATTTGTTGTAGTTGAAGCAGTTTGATACCTTAAGAAATCAAATCTTCCGGTTAAAAAGTGATTTTTGAGAGCTTCTATTTCAACCAACCTTTCTCAAAGCGCGGCGCTGAATCGTTTTATTCAAAAACAGATAAACGATGGCCGGCATTCCGTGGGTGAGCTCCCAGCTGATCTGCCCCAGGTGCATCAGGAATTGGCTGGGAGGCACGAAGCTCAGCGAAGCCCAAATGGCACAAGTCGTGAAGGTGAAGAAGCATACGCAGACGGCTTGGACCAGGATCTGGAAATCACGTGTCAAAAAGCGGTTGTTAAGATACCGAGTGGTTCTGAAACGCGCATGTCTATATTTTTTCTAAATTATAATCCGCTTGATGATGAAACGACGCTACCCGGCGTCTTTACGATACGTTACGTTACGCCACGCTGCTACGCCAGGTCATGACGCCAAGCTACGCCTTGAACTGTGTTACGCTTTTTAGGTATGTCTCGCTACGCTACCTCAGCACGATACGTTAAGCTATCCCATTACGTGTCTTCCACATGCCGTTACCTAGCGCTAAGCATGACTGTTGCGTACGTTATATTACGCCATTACGCTGTTTTGTGCAGCGTCAATATGGACTCTGCGCTAGGGATCGACGCTACATCACGCTACATTGCAGTACGTTATTACACGGCCACGATTACCCTGTGTTACGATACGGTAACTATCACACCCCAGTTCATTTTATCACTTCTTGCTCATAGTCACACTTCCTGCTCCCTAGACGCTAGTTCCGCCAAGACCAAAATCACACCTATTGTATGCAGATTAACCCCAACCGCAAAAACAGACAATTCAGTTGGTCCCCCATTGTCGGCACTTAATCCTGGGGCGCTGCTATTCGTACTTTTTCACATGCCAGTGACTATCCTCATCCTGAGGAGACTCTGAGGTGAGGAAAATGAACTCGGAAATGAAGGGGAGAGAAAGGGAGAGAGATAGAGAAATAAAGAGAGAGCGAGAGAGAGAGGGAGAGAGAAACAGACAGAAAGTGAGATGACAGATAGAGAGAAAGAGTGACAGATAAACAGTCAGACAGACCGATAGAGAGAAAAGGAGATCTAGAGAAAGAGAGAGAGAGAGAGAGTGAGAGAGAGAGATAGATAGATAGATACAGAGTGAAAGAAAGTTATTGAGTACGTTACCTTCCTCTGCACCTTCGACTGCATCTTGGCATCACTCTGACCTCGGAGGCGTGTCGAGTGGATGATGTAGATCAAGGCGTAGCAGCTGAAGATGACGATGGCCACGACGAAATTGTTCACCGTTTGGTAGATTGATCCGTACTGAAATGTCGTAATTTTAACACTCATTGAAACTCCAAAAATTATCGTACCTCCAAATGCTCCTTGCCCGGGATCAGCGGATGGTAGATGACGGTACCGTAATCGGCATTAAACAGGGCTGGTGGCGGATATGTGGCGAACCAGAGGGCATAGATAATGACGATACCCACCCAGATCCAGGTACGACCGCCCTAAAATCCGTGTAATAGGAGGTTCAGAGAGGGGAAAAGTTCCAAACTGTCTGCCTACCTTAAAGAGCATCTGTCCGATGTGCGGCTTCCAGATGTCGACCAGGCGGTTGAAGACGAGGATGGTGCAGCAGAGACAGCACGCATTGAAAAAGCCTAAAGATCGTTAATGCTGAGAGAGAACCCCCCCTTACCATCTACCATAGCTCCCGTCAAATAGATGAGGTGTGGATACATACAGTACTCGGTGCCGACAATGTAGAAGAATCCGCACAAGAAATTACTCATCAGGATGGTGATTATGTCGATGATACCTAGAGATTTGTCGGATAGTTACTTTCTCTCTCCATCTCTCGTCCTCTCTCTCTCTCTCTTTCGCTCTCTCTCTCTCTCTGTCTCTCACTCGCTCTCTATCTCTGCCTCTATGTATCTCCCTCTCTTTCCGTCCTTGCCAAAAACAAACCCAAACACATCATCAGCTTGTAGCAAGACATCTGAAGGAACTCCTTGGTGCAGATGACGGACATTGATAGCATATAGCAGATCTGAAACAATTTTTTAATAGTTTTAGCTATACCATACCTCAAAGAAAATCCCGGAGATGATGAAGATGATGCCAAGGAAAACATGCTTCTCATGGCGCGCGGACATCTCTTCGTACGTCATCGTTACATTTCTGAAAATGGATCAAATCACCGCGTTGGAAAGAGAGAGAGAGAAAGAGAGAGAGAGAGAGAGAGAGAGAGAGAGAGAGCGAGAGAGAGAGAGAGAAAGAAAGAGAGCGAAAGAGCTAGCGCGCGAGACAGAGAGCGCGAGAGAGCTAAACTTACACGCAAGAGTAACGATAGTTCTGCTCCAGGGAGCCGTACTTCCAGTAACCGTCCATATTCTGAAATGTATTTAATTGTTTAAAAGTATGTACAAACCACAAAAGTGTATGCAAAAAATATAAAAGTACCGCAATTAAAAATTCATGAAATTAACTTAATTTCTTAATTGGAAAATACATCCTGAAACCTAGAAACCTAAACCAGATAAATGCAAAAATGCCTAGTCGTTAAAAAGCTAGACTGCGAGCACTTTTTAGTGATCTCCAGCTCTTGGTAGACGGGCACTTTATAGTCGATCAGATTTTCTGGTCTTCCAGAAATTAATAAACACGAGTTAAGACAATAGAATGGCAGTGCGTGCGTCTCGTTTGAATAGAGCGCGACTCCAGGCTCAGGCCTTCTATGGTAATCTGGGGAGACAATTGGAAAAACGTGTGCGTCGGTTCCGGCTATTGTTGCCTCGATCCGGGTACCGTAGTAAATTAGAGGAATCAGCCGGGTCACGCAAAAACTTAAACTTGTAAAAATCGGGGAAAATTTCTCGTGCTCACGTACGTTCCGATGGAGTACTGGTCGTGTTTTAAAGGGACCGGGAAGGCCCAGGAAAAATTAGCATAAAACGGGCTTTAGTTCGAAAATTAGCATAAATCTTCTCTGCTCCCCCTGCTTCACCCCACTCTCTGCCGATTTTTTGCTATAGCATTTCCGGTTGGCTCAGTGCCAATTATAAATGAACCCTGATCTACTGGGCCTTCCTTATCCCTTTAAGAATACAGTACAAACCCTAACTTCAAGGTATGTTTTGCAGTCTTATTAATTATAACGGCTCGTGTCTCAATAATCGGTTGCTAAGTAGCTAGAATTCGTCCAACGTTTTTTGCAAATACTACCTGTTAATAATAATAATTTTAATCCAATGAGTGACTAATATAATTTACCTTATTCTGGTGGTTTCCAAAAATCAATTCGTAACCTGATTTTCCATCTGACAATCCTCAACAAACGCAAATCCCAAGGAAGCCTGCGAAAAAATTTAATGATCAGGGTGCTTGTTGTTAAAATTCGCCGCTGCCGTGGAAGAAAAATATTTGGCTAGGTGGAATGCTGATTTTTTACCAAATATTTTCCTGATTTTTAGGCCTATAGCAGATTTAAAACGTCTGGGGTATCTGGGGATTTTGGTTTGCGAGGTCGTTGCGTTTGCGAGCGAGGCGAGGTCGTCGTTGAATTTAAACAATTTCGTTAAGGTATCTGGGGATTTTGGTTCGGTTAAAACTATATTTTATCACGACAGTCAGTTTAATTTGGCTGGGCTAACGTCCCGCCCTTTTTCTTGTCGCAAGGCCTAAGGCTCATTGAAAAGGTCTTTCTCAAATTAAGCGGCTTTTCAGGTCAATTATCTCTGAACCGATCTGTAATATCAGTCATAGCCATTGCTGTGCTGGCACTCGCGTCATTTTTTTGCTCGAAAACTGGCTCCCAGTTCGAGGATATTTGTGCACATGTCGGGAGGCCGTTGGTTTTTGCTAAAATGGCCGATGGTGACCCCCCCACGTTAACCCAAACTTCATCATCAAACAGTGCATTTGCACAGCTGCCTTGTCCGAAACTGCCCGGAAAGAGGACTAACTCGTAGTTTCAGGCGTGGATGATGTCGACCAAGTTTTTTTTGGAAATTCCAGCTGGCGGAGTTCCGTATAAATACCCCGGCTTCCCATTAGGAAGTATCAATCCCTGGTTTCCTCCAGCTGAAGATGAAGGCCGCCGTCGTCTGCTTCTTGGCTCTCCTGGCTGTCGCCGCGTAAGTTGGCTTGGCGTAGGCTTGGTTCAGACATAGGCTTAGGTCAGGCTTAAGCTTGGCTTAGCCTTGGCTTTGGTTTGGCTTAGGCTTGGTTTAGGCTTGGCTTTTACAAGCTTATTAAATTTTCTTTTTAGCGCCACCCAGCCGGCCGGCTCCCCACCACCACCCCCGCCTCCAAGCGGAAAGCCACCAGCCCCAGGTGGTGGATCGCAGCCTCCTCCTCCCCCACCTACAGGTATGGAATACTGAAATTCTTCGATATATTGCATCTTAGGAAAGCCAGCCCCAGTCCAGGGCGGCTCTCAGCCACCAGCTCCTGCCGGTAAGAGAGTGGGAGAGAGAGCCAGAAAGATATAGAAAAAGTTAGAAAACTCAAATCAAGATAACATTTCAGGATCCAAGCCACCCCCGCCTCCTCCGACCGGCAAGCCTGCCTCAGTTCAGGGAGGATCCCAGCCCCCAGCTCCCGCTGGTCAGTTACCGCATTCGGCTTAGTAGCGAGAGAGAGAGAGAGAGAGAGAGAGAGAGGAGAGATGAGAGAGAGAGAGAGAGAGAGAGAGGAGAGATAGAGAGAGAGAAAGAGAGAGAGAGAGAGAGAGACATAGAGAGAGAGAGAGAGAGAGAGAGGAGAAATAGAGAGAGAGAAAGAGAGAGAGAGGCGGAGATTTACTTAAAGCTATATTTTCAGGATCCAAGCCGCCCCCTCCTCCCCCTACCGGAAAGCCTGCCCCAGTTCAGGGAGGCTCTCAGCCCCCAGCTCCCGCTGGTGAGTTAAAAACTCGACCTCATATTTTCCGCTTTCCGCTTCCAATAACTTATTTCCATGAAAATCCCTTTGTTTAGGATCCAAGCCACCTCCTCCTCCCCCGACTGGAAAGCCTGCTGCCGGACGCCGCTAAACGGAATGGATAGCGGAATGCTTTTTAAATTATAAAAATGCAAAAAAAACCCAATGTGCTGTACGCAGATATTATATGCATTAAATTCAAAAGATTTCACGACCTAAAAGGGACGCTACAGACATTCGAGATTCGGTTGGGTTTACGCGAGCCACGTTTTGTTCCGTTACACTACACGCGCTACGCAACACTTCCGGAATGAACGCGAGAGCTGAAAGCCCAAAAAATACTAATTATACATGGGTCGACGCTTGCATGCGCCGCATAAGCGTGGCCGGCCACGCTCTTCCGGAGCGTGGAGAGCCACGCTGGCGCGCGTGCCTCTTAATAAACCACGCCGAAATGAGCGTGGCCCGCCACGCTCCGGAAACGCTTATGCAAAGCTTCTAAAAATGCAAAATCAAAGTTTTCCATGGGACATGAAAGCAAAAATCGATCCGTTTTCGCGAATTTAATTAACAAGAAGTTGAATGACGATCCATCTTGTTTGTATATCAAAATTTAAAGATGACCCTGATAGTTATGTATCGGCAATTCATTTTTGCAAATCGAAATCATAAATATATGTCCTTTGAATTTTTGATTTGCATCTGGAGTTAAATCGCGCGCGTGAAAAAGCACGCATAAAGCGCCGCATAAGCGTGGTCCGCCACGCTCCGGAAGAGCGTGGCCAGCCACGCTTATGCGGCGCATGCAAGCGTCGACCCATGTATAATACTAACTCACAAATGCTTTGTAAGTATAGCATTACGCAGTCGTTTCTACAGGGTGTCCCAATAAAAAAGGTCACGCTGGCATCTTGTCATTTCAAATCCGATCGACTTGAGATTTTTACCAGAGCTGCGGACGGGGATTTAAAATGTTCACAGAAACTTTCAGCCCGATCGGAACAGTAGTTTTTGAGTTATAGCAAAAATAAACTTTATTTTACGTTTTTCGCTTGGATTCCGCCGGCATTGAGCCCTGGAATGTATGGAGAAAATGAAGCGCCGACCCTTTTTTATCAGGAATTTTTTTATTTCGCCAAATTCGGGTCGAAAATAGGCTATTTAAGTATTTTTAACAAGGGCTAACGACGCCGATGTTAAGAAGAATAAGGGATTTAGAGCCGAAATTGATGGAAATTGATGCAAAGTCCTAAAAATGAAGCAAAAGGGTTGAAAAAACAGTATTTTTGTTACAACTCGAAAACTACTGTACCGATCGGGCTGAAAGTTTCTGTGAACATTTTAAATTCGCTTCCGCAGCTTTGTTCCAAATTTAAGATCGAACAGATTTGAAATGGCGAAATGCCAGCGTGACCTTTTTTATTGGGACACCCTGTATTTAACGTAGTGGTAATTCTCAAATGTTATAACACCCGGCTAAAACTCGGTAGCGTACATGATAAACTTCAAAAGATTGTTTCGGGTTCTAGCCGGTTTCTAAAGATTTGATGACCAGACGCGGAAGTGCCGGTTTTATAATTTCGTCCTTGAATTTTTTTTATAGAGATCAAACCATCTGTCGAAATAATCTGTGCCTTCCCGCTGCACCGGAAATACCCCTATTGAATTTGTAATGCCCCGATTTCCGGCTGTCTGCGCTCTCTCGCTTTCGACTATTGAACGCCTTGAAAATCTGTATAAATACCCGGGCCTTCCCTTCAGAAGTATCCATTCCTGGTCATCCTCCAGCTAAAGATGAAAACCGCCGTCGTCTGCTTCTTCGGCCTTGTTGCCATCGTGGCGTAAGTTGGCTTGGCTTGGGTCTAGGCTTAGCCTTGGGCTTGGGAAGAGGCTTAGCCTTAGGTTTAGGCTTAGGCCTATGCTCGGCTTAGGCTTAGGTTAGACTTAGGATTCGCTTAGGCTTGGCTCAGAATTGGCTCAGTCTTGACGTAGGCTTGGCTTAGGCTTGGCTTAGGCTTGGCTTAAGCGTGGCTTAGGCTTGGCTTAGGCTCGGTGCTATCTAAGTTGACTTAAGATTCCGAAGTCGACTTGGTATCATATTTTAAAGGAGCAAACAAGGAATTATCAAAAAAACTTCAATGATCGTCATATATTTTGCTTTTTAGCGCCAGTGAGCCGGTCCCATCCGGAAAGCCGCCGGCTCCAGGGGCTACTTCGGCCGCACCAGCACCCGCTGGTAAGCTACAGTAACCAAGTGTAATAGGCGAGTTTTAGGGTCCAAGGCCCCAGCTCCAGCTGCCTCCGCGAAGCCGGCTCCCGCAGGTTAGTTCAGTAGAGAGAGAGAGAGAGAGAGAGAGAGAGAGAGAGAGAGAGAGAGAGAGAAAGAGAGGGAGAGAGAGTGAGAGAGAGCGGCAGCTAGCTAACTCTAACGCGGTGAATTTTAGGCGTCTCGGCACCACCAGCGCCTCTCGTAACTAAGCCAGCTCCCGCTGCCGGTAAGTTACAGTAGTCCAATAAGAAAGCAAGTGAGAGAGAGACAGAGAAAAAAGAGAGACAGAGAGAGAGAGACAGAGAGAGAAAAAGTGTGGGATAGAAACGAGGACAAATTTTAGGTTCCACTCCCCAAGCCCCGGCCAAGGGATCTCCAGCTCCAGCTCCTGCTGGTTAGTTACAGATCGAGGCTAAGCGTGAGCAAGGGATGGAGGAAACTAACAAGAGGAGACAGCGAGAGAGTCAAAGAGCGAGAAAGGCAGAGAGAGAGAGAGAGAGAGAGAGAGAGATGAGAAAGAGAGAGATTGAAAACAGCAAATTTGTGGTTTTAGCTTCGAAGGCACCCCTCCCAGCGTCGCCAGTCCCGGCTTCCAAGGCCCCTGCTCGTAAGCTACAGTAACCCTGGCTGAAAACCCAGAATTTTAGCATCCGCAGCCGCCCCTGCTGCCACTTCCGCGAAGCCAGCTGGTCGCCGTTAGACCAAAAGGATTGGCGAAAAACCTTTAATAAATTATGATGAAAAAAATTAACTGGGTACCTACTCTAAAAACACCCGAAGCACCGTAAAAAGTCTAAATATTAAACAATCACAAAAACTGTTTCTAAACCGGATTCTAAACCAAAATCCGATTATGCCTAAATGGGCTTTTCGGCTCTATTACCTTTTTGGTCTTTTGATTCGACTCGTAAATGCTCCAGGCTAGAAAAACTGAGCGGGTCCTCCATTAATAGAAGCCCGGAACCACATATAATTCAGCGAAGGACAAAAATTGGCACTTTCGCGCCCACGTCTACGGGGGCATTGTAATTCCTGGTTGGCTCTCGTTCTGGATTTCCAAGCTTTTCGCAAATTCTTCTTTTTTTTTGTGTGCAGGAATGACGTATTTCTGCATCAAGCAGGTCTATCGAAATTTCTAATTTTTTCAGAATTGGTTCTTTCCCGTGCCTGTTTTGCCCGCCGTTTTATCGTTTCTTTCCGAGCTTTCCGAATCCGCAATCCTAATAAAGAGTGGTTTTTGAGTGTCATTGGCGACCTAGTTCCTTCGATAGAGAATTGAATTCTGGACAACCTCTCGTTGCTCATTTTTGCAAAAAATTTTATAAAATTAAAAAACTAAAAATTGAATTTTCCGTACCCCGTCTGGCGCGGCCAGCCTACTGTACCTCCCCTAGGACAAGAGCTCTCTCCGCCTCGCCCTCTCACCATGGGACGTGGCCTAGTGGTTAAGACTTCCGCCTTCAAAAATTTTTTTGCATCTTTGTGGAAAGTTCGGTTCCTTGCTAGAAAATTTGTTTGCTTTTTGTTAATAAAAGCGTTTGCAGACGCTTTGATAAGTTAATTGATTTAAAATAATACTTATTACAACGTTGTTCCTCGGCGCGCTTTCAGGAAAATTTACAACATAAAACAAATATTAGGATCCAGGTTTGGTGTGAGTCCTCTAAATTGGAGGTGCAACCCGTTTTAAAATACTGGGGCCACTTATAATACAAAAAGGAAAACAAATTACCTCTACAAGAACCGAACTTGTAAGAATTTTGGAAGACAGCCGCGTTAGCCACTGCGCCACGCCTGATGCTGAAGGGGTCAGCGCTGAAGGCCTCTTCCCCTAGAGCTGGCAGACATGATTTTGATGCGGCGAACCGACGGTTGGCCAATTTCCACTCAAAGTTTTTAAATTTTATAAAATCAGGGAAAGGCGTTTTGCAGAAATGAACACCGGGAGGTTGTTCAGAATTCAATTCTTTATCGAATGAGCTAGGTCGCGAAGGGCCAATGACACTCAAAAACCACTCCTTGTAAGTGAAAGTGCGCATGGGAAGCAAAGTTTTTGAGAGATGACCAAAATGTTGGGTCTTGATGACAGTTGAAAACGAACTTGGAATCCTGGATTTTTCATCTAACTTCGCTTTTCTAATTCGCGACAACCTCTGCTGCCATGCTGATTGGAAAAAATTATTTTAGGTGCCGTTACATGAATTTGAGAAACTTTTGGCAATCCGAAACGGACATTTTTCGCTACTATAAAATTAATCGAATCTGAAATGCCATCGAATTACCCCCATTGCGTAAGCCGTTATTCATCCCCTTAATTGTTTTCCGCGTTCTAATCTCACGCGTTGATACATATAAAGGTAAAGACATGAGATACAACAAAGTTCGGCGCAATTCACCTTTTTCCCTTTTTCTTGTAGAGGGTCCATGGTTTGTAAGTCCGGCACCACGAACGCAAGGCGTGGGAAAGGGCCCAAACTCCGTGCTCCTGTAGCTATAAAAATCGTAGAGATATTTTTAAGAAAGGAAAATAAGCTTCGTTTTTTGCTTCTGATGACCAGCGATTAGCAAAAAAAAATGAAAAGAAGCCGATCATGCAAGCTGGGGGCGTACCACGTTTAAGTGAGATTCACATGAGCTCGTTTTCATATCTTTGGTTGCAGTTTAAGAATGTGAAACCGATAAATCTGTCGCATTCGCTCGCTCTCTCTCTCTCTCTCTCTTTCACTCTCTCGCTTTCTCTTATCTCTCTCACTCTCGTACGCTGTCTCACCCTCGATTACTCTCTTACGCTCTCTCTCTCTCTCTCTCTCTCTCTCTCTCTCTCACGCTCTCTCTCACTCTTCCGCTTTCGCTCTCACGCCCTCTCACTCTCTCTCTCTCCTCTCTCCCTCTCTCTCTCCTCTCTCTCTCTGTCTCTCTCTGTCTCTTGCTCTCTCCCTGCCTCCCCCTCTCTCTGTCACGCTCTCCTCTCTCTCGGTCTCTTCGAACAGTCACTACTGCTTTTTTTTGGAACGCCTGATTAACACCTCAGCCAGCATTTTTCTGTTCAATTAAGATGCTACGACGCGGCAATGGGTGTTTTGAACCGTTCGCCGCAACTTTGAAGGGGCCTAAAATTAAGGCCAGAAATTTAGCGGAGCTGTCCCTAGGGAATTTCCATGTGATCCGGCGCCAAAGTGGGACCATCACTTCAAACTCATTTTTTACTTCTACGTTTCCTTGAAAACACGCCTAATGTCGGAATAATGTTCTTACTATGAATATCCTAAAAACAATGTTCGCCCTTGAATTCTCGTTAAATGGATTAATACTTTTTGAGCCATGCTATTAATATGGTATTTTGTGTATTGTGTATTTTGTCTTTGATAATAAGTTACCGTAACGACCATCGCCATTTCTTGTTCGTGCCGTATTTCAGGCTCAAACTTAACTTTCCCGGATGTTCAGCGTTCAGGTTTTCGAGCAAGCGCCACTACAGTTTTTATTAAATGGCCACACTATGGATATCCCTGAACATACAGTAGAAATAATTACCGTAGCTGTGGTAAGTTCTCATCGAGCTTAAAAAGGAGAAATTTTTCTCGCAGCTTGGTGCTCTTGGTATCATAGCCGGATATTTCGCTGTGCGCTGCATAAAAAGATGTGATTATTTGACAGGTACTATATGACTTTACCATAACGGCTTATTTTCAAAATGTCGAAATGTCAGAATGTCGAAATTTACATAAGCTAAAATTCCCGGTAAAGTCCCCCGAATTCTAGGCAAAAAATGTTGTCGTGAAAAAGATAAAAAAAATAGACTGTTGAAAAATTTTTTGGCTAGGATCTGGCGGTTTCACCGGTAATATTAGCCTATATAAATTTCGACATTATGAAATTTCGACATTATGACATTTCGACATTATGAAATTTCGACATTATGAATTTTCGACATTATGAATTTTCGACATTATGAATTTTCGACATTATGAATTTTGATGTTATGAGATTTCGACATTAGGACATTTCGAAATTATGAAATTTCGATATTATGATTTTCGACATTATGAAATTTCGACATTATAATTTTCGACATTATGATACCAATTTTACCATAACATATCATTTCTAGGTTCCGTCGAGAACTTTTGCCTGGTATACGTCGGCTCGGCAGCTACCGTCAACCTGTGCCATTTCTTTTGGGGGTGTCCTTGTGCTATTTGGTAAGTCGCGGGATCGAGGTACACAGCACTACGTAGTGACGCCGAAATTTCTAGATAGCTCAACGGACCCGATCTTCTTTCAGGGAGCTCAACGATAGCTTCGAAGCAGGGAGCCTCGTGTTTGGTTTCGTCGCCAATGCTTCTGTATGCTATATGTATACAGCCAGGGTAATTATTTTACGTTTTTTTTGCGACGGAAAGCTGGCACCGATTCCTGATACAATGAGCTTGGTCTAGTCAACTTTTTTCAGATAATCCTCTCCGTAAATCGCCTACTTTCTATTGCATTTGATGGTCGTTATTACCGATATCTAGGAAAGGATAAGACAACTTCACAGTTACCATTCTTAATACCGACGATATGCGTTATTCCAATGCTCATTCGTGAGTTCCCTCTGTCTCTCTGTCTCTCCCTGTCTCTCGGTCTTTCTCGCGCTTCGTCTCTCTCATTCTTTCGCTCTTAATTTTAATTCAATTCAGCCGATTGTCACATGACTTTCCTAACGGATGCGATACTTGTTTTTGATAGTGCAGGCGGTGATTGCGCGACGGAATATGTTTATTGGCTTACGGTAGGGTATTACTCTTCCACTATCTCGCTCATATCTCTTTCTTTCTCGCTCTCTCTTCCCCCTCTCTCTCTCTCATTGCCCCCATCTCTCTCTCTCTCACTCTCTCTCTCTCTCTCTCTCTCTCTCCCTCTCTCGCGTACCTTCACTTTTTAGATCCCGGCCGGCTACGGTACCATAGCAACGACCGCATTTTGCGAGCTTATCGTTTTAATTTTATTGGTGAAGCGGCAGGCGGTAAATTAATTAATTTTACTTTTAATTCTATCTAACCCTTTTCACGAATTTAACCGACCCAGGCTTGATTTTAAAGGCCTCGAAACTTCAGAGCATCCCCGGCCGGCAGAGTCAACATGGGTTGAGGAGACAATTCAGATTCGCTGGCCAGGTATGGAAGCTAACTTTTAAATATATTTTATAAAATTTTATCTATATTATACTAAATTCTATTTATATTTTGTACATTCTATTATCGTATTATCAAATATGTTTTAGCTCGTAACTCACACCCTGTCTTCGATGTTACTTACCGTACTCTCCAATATTGCGTATGGTGGTGGCGAGGACATATTTTCCACTTTTCTATTGTTTACCGCTAGCTGGCAGGCTAGCTGCTTGTGTGCTTGGTAAGTTTAGATGCCTAGAAACTTGTATTAAGCAGCAAATCCACGATTTTTGAAAACTGAATTTTTAATTTTAAAGGGGCTCGGAAGTGAAAATTCTTGCCTGCAGGGAGTGAACCTACCGATTAAGAAACAAAGGGCCCACTGCCGAAAAGTACCAGAAAAGTGGTTTCGATGCGAAAAAACGTAACATGTTTAAGTAAAACCTAAAAGCTCTCGGAACGAAAACGGCATTTTGAGTGGGCGGCGATTACATGTCGTAATGCATTGTAAGGCACCCAATCCCTCGATCTCGGTGGTTCTCTGAACAATTTTAAGAATGAAAATGTCTAGAATGATCAAAATTCTATGAGGATTACAAAAATAGCTTCAGAATTTTTTATTTGACGCGTTTTCACGTCGAAATTGGGGCCAAAGGTCATGAGGCGCGGTCACAGCTGCCAGGAATCAACGCAGGGAGTCGCGGACCAGATTTCGGAGCGCCTTTAACGGACATTTTTAAATGCAAGGAAATTGGTATTTTGTGACCTAACCCTAAAAATTCGCAAACTATCTTGCGTTTTCTCAAAATTGACACAAACGTTGCTGCATTCTATGAAATTGTACTTTTGGAAAACCACATACTATAGAGTACAACACCAATCACCCGAGATGTGGCTCGTGCTAATTTTCCTTATTTTCAGCTCTCTCTACATCGTGTTTCATGCGATGCGATTCATGCGTTTCCCTACCTAGGAATTCATATTTTCCAGACAATTCTTAAAGATCGACGACAAGCGCTAGGCAATAAATAAAAAATAAATCTGATTCTGGAGGTATTTTGGCAGTTGGCAAGGCCTCCTGAGAGCCAGTTACGCAGCGGAAAAATTTGGTTTTTCGCGTGTTTTCCTGAAGTTTTGGCATTTTTTTTGAAGACCATGATATGAAGAAAATAGGGTTAAGATGATCCTGATGGATCAATTCATAATATCGCTCTCACACACTTTCTCTCCCTCTCTATCTGATTCTCTCTCTCTTTCGCTCTCTCTCTCTCACTCTCTCTCTCTCTCTCTCTGATTCTCTCTCTTTCGCTCTCTCACCCTCATGCTAAATTTAATAATTGGTTCGCCGCGATCAGCATAAACTCCTTTTTACGGGCTCATTGAGTTTTGTTCCGTTTTGGGCTGATCCAATTCCGACGGCAATTCCGCAGGCGTCATTAGGCTGTTTTTGGAAATAGCCTACCCTTTTTTTGGCCGGAAAAACACGGTTTTATACTCCATACTCCATGTTTTAGAGGCGATGCACGTCGACTGGGTGCAGATCGGGCTTATCGCGATCGCAAGTTTTGGTATTTGCGAAGAAACCGTAGAAAAAACTTTCAGATCGGGATTCCCGGAGTGATCATGGGTTTCTGGTCGATGGTTTGTATCAGGCAATCAGGATATTTAACAGGTACTTTAAAGGCCTAGAAGCACGTCAAATCGCTTGAAGAAGCTCATTATATAGATGCGAAATATTTTAAGGTACCATCCAACACTATTCTCTGATTTATGCAGCGACAGCTACTGTGGTTAATATTTGTCACTTGTGGGGTATCGCATGTGCTATTTGGTGGGTATAATGAATAGATGTTAGATAAAGAAAGAGAGAGAGAGAGAGAGAGGAGAGCGAGATGGAGCAGGGGAGAGAGGGAGAGCGAGAGCGAGAGAGATATAGAGTGAGGGTGAGAGCGACGGTGAGAGTGAGAGAGATGAAACAGTGAGAAAGATATATTTTAGGAACCTTAACCAGCCCAATCGCATGTGGAGTCAAATCGTTGGTCTAATCTGCTACGCCGCTATGCCATTTCAGCAGCTGGCTAGGGTCAGTAGAACGGAGTTTAAAGCTGAAACGATATAAGCGCAAAGGCGCTATAAAGGGTGTCTAACATTTTTAACGCTGTTTAAAAACATCATGTAAGACAAATCTCGTTTCAGATCATGATCTCCATAAATCGATGCTTCGCTATCTCATTCCATGGCAGATTCTATCGATGGCTTGAGACCCAACGTCCTCTTTTCTATACTCTGGCTCTGGGATTGCCGATGCTGGGAGCTATTCCATTATTCTTTCGTAGGCATAAATCGAATTTTGGACAAAGCTGTCTTTAGCGGACTGTCGTGTACGTTTTTACACGGATCCAATCATAGTGGTTGATGGCCTAGACGGAAGTTGTGCCACGATGTACGTATTTGTGACTACAGTAAGTCTGACAGACACTTTTTTTTACTGCTTCCTGTCAATGCTCTCCTAACGTTGCAAGACTGAGACATTCCATTAAAGGGCTGGTTCAACTTTTAGAGCTTGGGCTGGTACCTTGGGAAACTATGGACGTAGGCACAGTGCGCCCGAACAGTCCCCCATTACGGCAGCTATTAGAGATTGGGGAAAAGGGAGAGGCGCAGACACAAAAACGCAGAGAGGGTTCGACTCCTGAACGCGGAAATTCTTTTGTTTTATTGGCTGAACTAGCCCTTTAAGCAAGTGCGCTTTTCAAAATTATGTTTTATCGGAATGGGCGTAATTTTTGCCGTTTTGATCGTTTTTAGCAACTAGCAGGCTTCTAAATACTTTTTCAGTTCGTCACCGGTTACGCGATGCTCGTAATCACGGCTTGTTGCGAATTTACTGTTCTCTATTTACTCGTGAAGAGGCATAGACAAGTAAATTCCTTTTTCAAGTAATATCGCGAATTTCAGGCCATCGCCCTACACGATTTCGCCCGCGACCAACGCTCCATCCGGCCACAATTACGATTCGGAGCGCAAGTTAGTTTTTTCCAAAGCACGGGTAATTAAGGAAACATTTTATTGCGTAATCGATCAAACCCGTTTGAACAGGCTAGAAAACTATCATTCTAAAGCAATTTTTCAGGAAGACGGTAGTAGTTGGGACGTTACGATTTTTAGTGATTTTTATAGTGGTGTATATTTAAAGTTTTAGTTAATTACACACACGTTAACTGCGGCCGTCACTA